TGCCTATTCCGTCCTTCGGAAGAACTTGATAGGTGGATAAAATGCCAAATCCAATCTAAACATCTGGCAACCAACAACAACAACCATAATAATAATAACAACAACTTATTAAGCTTGCATGCTGCCTGTCAGTGACTAGGGAACTCACAACAATCAAAGGGATTACAATAAAATAAATAAAACACAAAAGATAAAGATAAAAGATGGCAAGTGCAACAGACAATATGGAATGAAACGAGGGGTCTCACTCTTCCTTGCCAAAGTCCTGGGTGAAGAGCCAGGCCTTCACAGCCCTTCTAAACAAAACAGAATCTGGATCTTGGGGGGAATCTTCTTCCAGAGAACAGGCACTACTATAGAGAAGGTGCACTTCTGGGGTCCCAATAGATTACATTGTTTAATTGAAGGAACCTGGAGTGTGCCAACCCTGCAGGAGTGAATCGGCTGGGCAGATGTTATGGGAGACAGGCAGTCCCTCAAGTAACCAGGTCCTATGCCATATAGAGTTTTATAGGTAACAACCGGCATCTTGAATCACACCTGGGAGCAAACTGGCAATCAGTGCGGTTTGTGAAGCAGAGGCATTACATGGACATAGCAAGACAAACCCATTACTGTTCGCACCACTGCATTCTGGACCAGCTGAAGCTTCTTGGTGATCTTCGAGGGCAGCCCCATGTAGACCGTGTTGCAATAGTCATGCTACAAGGGCATGAGTGACTGTTTGAAGGGCCCCTTGATCTAGGAAAGAGTTCAAATGGCACACCAGAGTTGTGCAAAGGTCTTCCTGGTACAGCTACCACCTGCTCTTCAAGCAGGAGCTGTGAGTCCAGGAAGACCCCTAGATTGCACACCAACCTTGAAGGGAGAAATGCTACCCTGTCCAAGGTTGAAAGATGGAATATTCCCAGACTTGGGTGGCCCAAGCACCCACAGCTGCTTGGTCTTGGTAGGATTGAGTTGGAGATGGTTCCTCCCCATCCAAACCTGCACAACACCCAGACACAGGTCCGGAACAGGACCTTGACAGCCTCATTTGGCTGGCCTGGGGTTAAAAGATATAATTGTACATCATTAGCATACTGATGATACTGAACCCCAAACTGGTGGATTACCTCACCCAGCAATTTCATGTATATTGAAAGAGCGGAGAGAGAGTAGAACTCTGCCAAACCCCTCAAAGGAGGAGACTAGGGAGTGATCTCTCCCCCCTAATCAACACTGACTGGAACTGGCCCCAGAGGAAGGAAGAGAACCACTGTAAAATGGTGCCCCCAGTCCCCAACCCATGGAGCCAGCTCGGAAGGATACTGTGGTCAACAGTATTGACAGCCACTGAGAGTTCAAGGAGCACAAGGATGGGTGCACCACCTAAGTATGTCTCTGGGGGATGGAATCAGTTCAGGAAGGGGAGGAGCTAAGGGGCAATTGGTTTCTCAGCTGAGCCAATGGTATATATCCTCTTTACCCAATGTTCTTTCTTTAGAAGTTTTTCCTGACAGATGACAAGCACATATAATACTTGGGGATGAATGTGTCCCACCACCATCCCTATTACAATTCTGTGGCAGGTTGGATATAGTGTATGTTACTCTGCTGCATGTATTAAAAAAGAGGGCAGTTGTTGACTAAGGAAATTGCCATAAATTAGATGCCGTCCCAGTTACATAGTGAACAATTGCATGACCAGTTTTGAAAAGCAAATAAATGTAGATCAGCCCCACCTCATTTATTTTCAAATCTACTTATGAAATAAAATAATTCAATCTTAATCTTTTAGTCTCTCTTCATTGCAGTCCTGATCTAAATATTTTGTAAATCACATTTTACATTTTGAAACCCATTAGCATAATTGTTAATTATGGAAATGAGATCGTAATTATTTTGGATCTTTAAAAGCCCCTCAGTGTCTCCTCAATTAGCCTTGTAGGCAAGGGCATGAGGAATTAGCTCATAAATATTTTTATTTGCTTGCTTGTTACATACATGAGAATAGTCATTCAGGAGCTGCACTGAGTGAGATTTCCCTATTTAAAGTAAACAAAACTGTAAGTTAACTTTAGTTTCCTTTAAATAAAAAAATGAATAATAAACCAAATGGGAGCAAGGAGAAATAAATGCTTTGAGAGAAGTGATTTTCAACTTACTGATAGTAGAAGAGAAACATAGATATGGGTATAGCATGGGTAATCTTTCTCCTCTTGCTTTCAGGGGTTATCCAGCCAGGCTGATACCACACAGTCATGACGGGGAAAAGGTCGCTTCTCCATGGAATTCTGTCTTTCCTGTTGCTTAACATTGTCTGTCAGGCCCATGATCTTCCATTGAGCCAGGCAACCCGAGGGACGAGCTCCCTATGTGAAAAAGATGCTGGGTCCTGGGGAGCTGTATTCAGTGAGGAACGCCTAGATGCCTGGATCTGTTCTCTGATTGGTTCTCTTATGGTGGGATTGAGTGGGGTTCTTCCCCTCCTGTTCGTTCCTCTTGAGACGGGGGCAGCACTGAAATCGGAAGGTAGGTCAATTCTTCAGCAGAACATTCCTGTTAGTTCTGGCTATCATTTCCAACTGTTCCCTGGTCAGTGAATGCCAGAGTAGTATGTATTTTTAATGCAGTTCCTGAGTGCTATTTGTGGCCAAGAAATGCTGTTTCCTGAAATGTGGTAATAATCTGTTCTATCTTTTAGCAAGGTAACTTCAGAGATAAAGGTAAGGCCTCATGTTTTGTTCAGTGAATAGTCTACAAGTCACATGGGATCTTCACCCATTGTACTTTATCACATTAACCAAAATTTCACAACCCAAGAAGTGGAATTCTCTGGTTTGCTTAAAGGAAGATGAGGAAGTGATTTTGCATGTACTTTAGCAATTTGTATTATCTGATTTCCATTAGTTATAGGAATGAGCAAAATATTAGGCAGAAGATTGAAGCCCTACTCTCTGACCAAAAGAAAGCCACCTCAGTGCCTTCTCAGTGGCTTTTGAGATTTTGCCAGACAATGCCCACACAGTTTGTAAGTCTGTACATCTAACTAAGTCTGTATGTTAAATCAATCAAGATACTAACTTCTATAGCAGGTGATTGGATCTTTGGAATATCCACATCCTGTTCATTTGCCAAGGGGCCAGACGTCTACTATCTTGCTTTTTCCTCTTGGCTCTAGCACAGATGGCAGTGGGAGCCTCCCATTGTGCAGCTTTTGCTGCTCCCAAAAGCACAGTTGCTAAGGACTTCCAGCTGGCAGGCCCAATTTAGAAGTTTAAAGTATTACAGTGTTTTGTTGGAAGCAGTGGATCCAAGCTAATCATATAGCAGCTACCTTTTTGTATGCAAACATCCTCTCAGGTTTGTCATGAGTAGCAGAATAAGACCAAGCCCTGCAGTGACTGGCTGCTATTTCTTTTTCAGAGGGATCCCATCGAATGAAACAGCTGTTGAGCTTTGCTATTGGTGGGCTTCTGGGAAATGTGTTTCTCCACCTGCTTCCTGAAGCCTGGGCCTACACTTGTAGTGCTACTGCAGGTAACACCCCAAGCCTGTGTCAAGGGGATGAGACAGGTCACATCCATCTGTTTCAACACATCTGTAAAGCTACATTGTGGATTCTGGAATGGATTCATTCTGGGGTTACAATTGTGGAAAGGCCTGGTATGGCAAAAAGATCAAGCACAGCCAGTTTATGCCTATAGGTACAATAAAGGAAAAAATGGACAAATTGAACGCAGCTCCTGAACCTCCATGTGCTTCAACACTCTTGGATGGGGAGGGAGTGAAGCCCTTTAATTAACCAATTGATTAATAGAAGTGGGGTCTTCTGACCTTGTAGCACAGCAGAGCACCATTAAGAGAGGCACCTGTCCTTGTGTTGCTTTCTGCTTTGAGTTTGCAGGGTTTATCTTTCCCGACAGTGTTACCCCTGGTGACTCTTCTGGAATGTGTTTCCATTTGTCTTCTTATCTGGCCTCTGGGCTTCATCATCTCACACATGTCTGCCTGTCATGCTTGCTTGCCTATAGTCAATCTGAGCTGAGAGCATGAAGCTGATTGTAGTCCATTTAATCAAAGGCACCATTTAAGAACTTGCCAGGTATGGCATTAGCTATTTCAAGGTGCAGGTTTCCTGCTGCGCATGCGATTTAAGAAGACTTGGCTGCTGAATTTGCAGCTTTGAACATGTATGGTCATAGCCAGGGTTGTACACGATTCTTTACTCAAGAAATCCTAGTCTTGTTCACAGATTAAAGCATAAAACACACCTGCTTTCAGGATTCAGGCTTTCAAAAAATCAATATTCCGTAGCAAAAACTGGATTGGCTCAGTCACATAGATGAGGGATCTAGGAAGAGAAAGGGTTAAATATGTCATAGTGGCCGGCTATCCCTGACCCGATTTTCCATCTTCTTGGATTTTTCCTTTTTAAGTATTGTTTTAATTTTATATATAGTATGTATTTTATATATATTTATAGTTTTAATGTCTTTGTAAGCCTCCCAAAGTCCCCTGTTGTGTGGGAGATGGGCAGGGGAGAAATCCAATACATACATACATACATACATACATACATACATACATGGTAGTGGTCGATGGATTAGTAGCCAGAAAGAAACATAGTTATGCAAAGCCACAGGTCCTTAACTTTTTTTAACCAATTAATCTCCTGTTTCAAGTGATTTACTGCAATCAAAACTTCTTTAGAAAAGTGAAAGCCAGGCTTTTTCCAAGACTGCAAACTCTAAGCTGGATGCTCCATTATCAGTATATATGTTACACACAATTAGGCCCTTCTTGCAATCATTATTATAGGCTGTGGTACTTTCAAATAATGTGCATCTATGGGTACTTGATTCTTGGGCATTTTGATGAAAAAAGTTACCTTTGAAAGGTTATATACTCCAAAACTCTAAAGCAGTGATTTCCAGTTTTGGTTCTCAGAAGTTGATAGGCTACCTTTATCATTAGTCAAACTAGCAGCGGATGATGGGATTATACCAACATCTGAGAAGCCAAAATTAGTGATCTTCTCTTTTTGATTCTGAAATATGTATAATATTCCTAGCCCATTGATACATTTTACAACTGTGAGTATGTAATCAGGATTTCTTAATACAGATTATTTTTTACTGTGCTGTAAGATTTCCAGAGTACAGTGGTACCTCTACTTACGAACTTAATCTGTTCCGTGACTCTGATCGCAAGTCG